TTCTTGTTATTTTTTGTACGTTATTACGTAAGCACAACAATCTCGAATTAAAACTCAGTTAGCCAACCACGACTCGTGGTTGGCTAACTGAGTTTTAATTCGAATAAACATGATTACGACATAACATTCCAAAAAATAAGAAATAAATCTATGATCATAAGAGTTTGCCGGATAACTTATATTATTTTTAAATTTATATATATTAAAACTAATAAAACTATTGGAGAAATATTAACAATTGTTTTTATAAAAAGTTAATATTTTACAAATACAGAAATAGCTCTATTAGTTCTAATATGAATCTAGAAATAATATGATTCGAGCTATTAATAAGTACTATATAGAAACTAAAAAAACCATAATATTTGTCTAATATGCCTTGTGTCATGTAATTATGCAGTTAGCTAATAAATTTAATTAAAACATGTAACAACTAATAGCAACTAATTTATAAAAGCTGGTCGTAGTTAATCAATTAGAATTTTGCAAATACGACTTAAGTAAAAAAGTCTTAATAAAAAAATTTTCAATCTTTTTGCATCGGATTAGTAATAATAATATCCTGATCCGTTGGGAATTAGCGGAAACGAAGTTTCCGCTTATTCACATACGGTCAGGGTATTATTAATTAATCCTCCCGTGATCTTGATATAGTGATCGGGGGATTATATCAATAATTTCAATAATTGTAAATAGGAAGTAAATGTGAAATATTAACATATTGCCTGCATAATGGGCATTCAGGCTTTTAATAATAAAAAGATAATGTATTTTAATATGTTGATTTTTTTAAAATATCTAATAGACAAAATATTTTATTACCTTATTTTGGCACCATTCAATGATACAGGACCAACAAAACAAATGGCCACAAGTAGTCGCTGTTGTATTTTTACGCTGTGAAAGACATAGAGTGCATTTGCGAGCTGCAATTTCTTGAGGCGTGAGGTCCGAAGTTGATATCAAAGTAAAATCTATTTCATTACTATTGTGTTAATAATCGTGAGATTTTTTTTTTGGTTTAAAAAAAAGCAACAAATATATCAATTTAACATACTCAGTGCCCTCATCGTTATTGTCTAAACTACTATTTTCAGCAGAAGCATCTTTTACGCGTCTTTCATGAAGATATGCCTGAACAAAAATTTGAGTAATAAGCAAAAATCCGAGAACTTCGTATCCGATACGTTTCTCCCCAGGATTCAACTGTCTGATAAATATCTGATATATAACAATCAGAATATAAAAATACACGACTGTACATTTTCAAATTAATAAAAGTGTTAAAATTGATATTACATATCGAATTCCCACCGCCCGTTTTGATAAATTGTAGTAAGCACCGTAAAAATAAAATATAGCAAGATGCAATGCATGGATATTGTTTTTTAGAAATGATGGGATAATTGCAAGCAATGTGTGAATAAATTCACGTAATTTATTTGTTGGCGAACGTGAATGCCAACGCAGTTTAGTGATGCCCCGTGTGTACAGATATGGAAAAACCACATGCCAGAATAACAATATTGCACGATGCTGCGTATTTTAAAATTTTTGAAATGAATAATTGGAAATGTTAAACTGAAACAAATTATGCCTAACCTTTGTAGATGGGACTTGTTTAGATGTTTCTGAAATCTGCATTATATCACAATATTCTTCACCCAATGTTTGAGTGCCTTTGATAAATTTTAAACAGAGGGTTAACACTTGAAAAAGTGTGAAAAATGTAACCATAAAAATTACCTAGCAGAGTTGTTAAGCAAAAATAAAAGAGATTGGATATTAAATTTATTTCTTTTTTGTTTAAATGTTGTCTACGTGTACCTGATGCAAGTATTAATATATAAGCAATTTCTTTACTTTTATAAATAGGTGATAATAGTGAAATAAATGATTATCATAAAACACACCAAAGAACAATCGAAAAACGTCTGATATTTGATCCTCTAGAATCTTTTGGTAATAAACATCTTTTTGATTTGCTCGAACTTCATTTAGCAGTAGTAAATGTAATATCAAAAATTATCAAAATTATCGGTAAGACACAATTTAAACAGCAAAAGAGAAACGAAGTTTAGGATAATTTAATAAGTAGAGTAACCTATATCAGGCTGAGGGGCGTAAGGGAAAGTTAATTCCAGATCTTTATTAATTTGGTTTTTTGACATAGAAGACATCTTTGTTAGACATCACGTAGTAAATTTATTTTAATGCTTTTATATATGAATGTGATAAGATGTTAGATGAAGATTCATGCTGTCTGACGATCTAAGCATACTTGACCAATCAAAATTCATCACGGGTTAATACATGTAAATAATTTTTTGCATATACTTAAGATTTTGTGCAAAGTTTTTTCGATAACTACCTGATCAAATTCAATGAATTTTTTTTATTTTAATATTACACATTCGTAGAATTAAAATAAAAAAAAAAAAAATTGTTGAATTTTGTCATGTGTTTGTCGAGAAAACATCAAAGTTTAGAATCTTTTTTGTATTTTTGAAATTTTTTTAAACTTGAACTAAGTTTTCTTGATAACTACCTTGCTAAATTTGATGAAAAATTTTTTTATTTTAATTTTACAAATTTGTAGAATTAAACCAAAAGAATTTTTATCAAATTTGGTCAGGTGGTTATTGAGAAAATTTTGCTCAAAACTTAGAAAAAATATATTCTGCTTTAGTAAATTGTGGTTCTAAATATTTTAAAACTTTGAGCAAAGTTTTCTTAATAATTACCTAACCAAATTTAATAAAAATTTTTTTATTTTTAATTTTACAAATATGTGAAATTAAAATAAAAAAAATTTTATTGAATTTGGTCAGGTTGTTATCAAGAAAACTTGCTTAAAATTTAAAAAAAAACTGTTTTTAAAAATTTTAAAACTTTGAACGAAGTTTTCTCGATAACTTCCTGTTTAAATTTGATGATAAATTTTTTATTTTAATTTTACAAATTTGTAGAATTAAAATAAAAAATTTCATCTAATTTAAATTTAAACAGATAGTTATTAAAAAAACTTTACTCAAAGTTTTAAAATTTTTAAAAACAGATTTTTTCTAAGTTTTGAATAAAGTTTTCTCAATAATCACCTGGCCAAATTCAATAAAATTTTTTTCATTTAATTTTACACATTTGTAGAATTAAAATAAAAAATTTTCATTGAATTTGATCAGCTAGTTATTGAGAAAGCTTTACTTAAAGTTTTAAAAAATTTTAAAACTATAATTACTAAGATAGAACAAATTTTTTCTAAATTTTGATCAAAGGTTTCTCAATAACTATCTGACCAAATTTGATAAAAATTTTTTTATTTTAATTTTACAAATATGTAAAATTAAAATAAAAAAAAATTTTATTAAATTTGGTCATATGGTTATTGAGAAACCTTTATTCAAAATTTTAAAAAAATTTAAAAATACTTAAATTTATTAATAAATATAACAGATTCTTAAATTATTTCTTTAATCAAATTTGACAACTTTTTTTTATTTAAATTCTACAAATATAAAGTATTAAAATAAAAAAATCATTAAATTTAATTAGATAGTTATCAAATATACAAAAAAAATTAGTTATATATATTAACTTATAATGAATTTGATTGGTTGAGTATGTTTAGATTATCAGATAATATGGATCTTTATCTAATATCTTGCTAGATAAAAAGAGATATATACAACACCATATCTCTAACCTTATTAAACGCCTTAACAACACTGAACTCCTTGGCACCAGTTCTCGTATTCGCCTTCAACAATTGCAAAATAATCTTTGGTCCACAACTAATATATTACATCATCCTAACCCTTTAATTGATGGACCAAACAAACAAACAACTAGCTTCAAAATTATTCAGCTCTTTTCTCACTTAGGACTATCTATTACCCCAAATCCTATGTATAATATTCCATATACAGTCAATACTGGAACAATTACATTAGAATCAATACTATCATCACATTCTAAATACCTAAGTTTCAAAAAACAACTTCGCCAACATCATATTCTTTTTCTCGATCAACTTACTACATATGATAATTCCTGTCTCCTTGATTGGAAGCACATATCACCAAGAATCCACAAAATACCCAAAGGCAGAAAGCCATTATGGTTTATAACTCTTGAAGATATCACAACAAATCACTCATACTACCGAACTCTTCATAGCCACTACCAACTTCCAAAAATCAATCACTTTAGCTATACCACAGGACATTTCTCAAAATGCTCTAAACCATGGCTTATCACTACACTTCAAGATCAAATAATTATAGGCAAAGCCAGAAGACAACCAACTTCTTCTGGGCAAATACTTATTACACATTGGCATTGCAATATTGAGCTCCATGCCACACAGCTATACCCAACACCTTCAATTACAACTAAACTATGCACTGGCTGCAATCTCAATTCCAATCTAATTACTAGCAAATG